CCATATTCAAGGTCACAGAGTTCCAATGTGTTGAAAGCCTTAGAAATGACTTCTTCTAAATAACCAAAATGCTAAAGGTGTTGATATTTTTTACCAGTATACGTAGCATGCTGGGATAAGCACTATCAAGTTAGTTCTAAAAGTAATGAATGATCTTGACCAATATTTAAGGTCTTTGGGGTAAGATCAGTTGAACACCTTAAAAGTGACTTCTGTATAACCAAATAGCCAAGGATGTTGATGTGTGGCTATTCATAAGCAGGGATGAATAGCTTTTAAGTTTGTTCAAAAGATTACCTTGACCCATATTCAAAGTCACATATTCAAGGTCATAGGGGTCAGATGTGTTGAAAACCCTTAAATGACTTCTTCTAAATAACCAAAAGGCCTTGGTTGATGATATGTGTCCAGGAGCATGCAGAAATGAAGTACTATCAACTTTGATCAAATGAATGATCTTGTCCAATATCCAAGGCCACTTGTATCAAATGTTTTAAAAACCTTAAGCATGACTTAAAGATAAACAAAAGGCCAAGGATGTTGATGTTTGGCGAGTCCCATGCTAGTATGAATGGCTATTAAGTTTGTTAAAAAAATATCCTTGACCACAATTCAAAGTCACAAGGGTGAAATGTGCAGAAAAAACTTAAATGACTTCTTCTGAATAACCAAGAAGCATAGGGTGTTTATGTTTGGCCTGGATGAATTTCTTGGTAATTTGGCCATATTGCTCTAAACAACTACACATCTAGAACTGTGAGATGGGTATCAACCGTATTTGCTTGAAAGCATCCTTAAGAGGTTGGAAATCAAAATTATAGAAATAGAGAGTCTGAACCCGAGGGGTCCTGAGGGCTGCTCCAAAAAGGGATAATTTGGCCGTATTGCTTTACACAACGTCTCTGCTGGAATTTTAAGATGGACTTCAATTGCTTTTTCTTGGAATGATTCTTAAGAGGAGATTCAAAAGTGTACAAGCAGAAGGGCTAACTCCCCAGGAGGCTGGGGTGCAAGACCAAAGTGAAATTCAGACATATTGGTTGAAGCAATTTTACTAAAACTAGTAGGTGGAAGCAATATTTGGGATTCAAATTTGCATAAGTGAAGGGGCTTACCACTCCATCTGTCCAATCCCCCCATTGAGGACTTGTTCCTTGCAAAATGAGTGGCCTAAAGAAGAAGTCACTGGCCGAAGTATGTGAGCCAGTAGCTAAATCAACTACCGTACTTTCGGTTCTCTCACCTAAGATCAGTAAATCAAGTAAGAAAGTATAATCAAATGAATGAAATAAGCAAACAAATCTATCTTATATATCTAATTTTTATATTTTAAATTAAACCTATTACCTACAATCTAAGATATATATAGTACGGTATTGATTTTTATCTCTGATTCAAAATTTGAAGGCAATCATAAGATAAAAAAAGCATATTCTTTGGTTGCAGAGTAAACAAGATGGACATTATTACAATGGGTGTTGTTGCCGTGGGAACAGTGGTGGCAGTCCCTGTCATCATCAGTGCCGTTGGATTTACAACGGCCGGTATTGCCGCAGGCTCTCTTGCGGCCAAAGCGATGGCAGCCTCAGCAGTGGCCAATGGAGGTGGTGTGGCTGCTGGCAGTGTTGTGGCCGTCCTGCAGTCTGTCGGAGCAGCTGGTATTGGCGCTGCCGCCAGCGTGGTCGTAGGGGGCGCTGCTGCCGCAATCTTCGCGTTGTTCTAGTAATCGTTGTTCATAGGCGACGCTACTGTCTTTTTTTGATTTCCAACATATTAAAAAATTTTCTAAGAACTTACCATTCAAAAGGATTATATCTGTCATAAACACTAATAACAAAAAGCTGCACGTGATTGTGTTCCTTGAAAATGACTTGAAAGTGACTTGGCTGTTTCATATTATTTAATTGTCTTTCTTCTCTTTTTTCAGATTTCAACTAAATTCCTCTTTTTCTGTGACATTTGTATAACAGACAGCAACTGTCTAAAATGCTCTTTTACTAGTTTTATCTAGTTTTATACTAGTCCTGACATTTGCTGTGATAACTTTGTGTATCTGTATTTTAGCATCCTGATTTTGTGTTAGAGTGTATAAAGAAATTTTCATAACTGTTATCTAAAAATGTACCCGAACATTGTAAACAGTGAAAAGCCGAACAAAATTTATGAAATATGAAATGTGTAGACAAAACTGTTTCGACTTTTTCATTGAAGAGTTTAATTGTAAAAATAGAAAAAAACCATGAATTTTAAAAAAGACTTTTCCTATACATGAAGGCTTTTTACATACTATACCTGAATTTTCTGTAATAACAAACTGAACTGTTGCCAGAAATTGTGGCTTCCTATTATAATTAATAGGAAAAGTATATAAAATTATACATGCAACTTAAAAACAGGATTATTTTCAGTATTTATAGAGATTAGCTCCAGACTATTTAGTTGCATAAATAAAGTTAAGTTCCTGCTTGAACTGGTGACTTAAGTGTTGTTGTTTTTTTACAGAAAATGAGGGTTAGTAAATGCTAAATTTGTTTTGAACAGAAACAGTAATTTAAAAATTATTTTGCAAGCTTTTGAAAACATCCGTTCCCTTTGTCAAGCAAACAGTGCAAACCGGTGTCTCGACTCTAACCCTCTGAGAACTACTCACTATTCCACAAAGTGCCGAAACAGTAAATTCAGATGTCAGAAAATATTGAGACATTTCGCAAAATAGCATTCTAATACAACAGGTAGCCAGAGGGATGGGTAATATGTTTACCAATTCCGCCCCTTATTGAATGTTAAAATGGGTTCATAGAGAGTCATCTTTAATGACTCAACCGATGCCCCCTCGTCTCTGTTCATTGATTCCCCTTCCCTCTTATGCAAAACAAAAAGGCCATGGATGATGATATTTAGAAGGTGACATACTGGAATGAAGTCTGTTTAAATGAATGACCTTGACATGTATTCAAGGTCACATGAGTCAAATATGTTGAAATCTTTTTAAATAATTTCTCCTTCACAACAAAAAGGCCAAGAAGGTTGATATTTGGCAGATGACATGCTCGGATGAAGTGCTACCAAGTTTGTTCAATGACCTTGACCCACTTTCAAGGTTACATATGGTCAAATTAAATGTGAATAAACCATTAAGTTACCTAATATCAATAAACAAACTTAATGGCATTGTTAGACTTTCAATGTCAAAGGGATCAAACATGCTTAATTATTTTTACGCGTCTTTTGAATAGCTTAGAGTCATAGATACTGAAATTCTGCATGTAGCTTTAGTTTAGTTCACTTTTGATGTTACAAGTGTATTTTTTTTATACTTTTGAGGATCAATTGTATAAAGCAAAAATCAATAAAAAATGATTCTNCTTAATGGCATTGTTAGACTTTCAATGTCAAAGGGATCAAACATGCTTAATTATTTTTACGCGTCTTTTGAATAGCTTAGAGTCATAGATACTGAAATTCTGCATGTAGCTTTAGTTTAGTTCACTTTGGATGTTACAAGTGTATTTTTTTTTATACTTTTGAGGATCAATTGTATAAAGCAAAAATCAATAAAAAATGATTCTTCTTACTATTATAAAAATGCAAGAGAGAGATCAGACAGGAATCCAAGGAAGAATTGCAAAAAATCAAGAGTGGACGATGGACAAAAATGAAGCAACATAGAAAAAACTAAAATACATAAACTGGCAGGAGCAATTAATCAAACAGAGACAAGAATACAAATTAATTAATCCACAAGATGCTCTATCAAAGTAGACCAGAAATATTCACAATCTTGTTATACAGTTTTTGAAATACACAGTCACAACAATAAAAACTCGAAAATTCACCATTCTTACACATATTCACATCCCTTGAACTTCCGGGATTATGCTGATTTACGTTCTCTGCACCTCTGGAATAAGTCATGACGAAATCGAAGGAATGTATTCACCACCTTGTCCATTGTTTGTACATAACAAGAAACGCGCGGCAGCGAAACGGTAAAATTCACCGGCATTGAAGTTTGGTGTTACTCCTATGCAATCTTCTACGAAGAAGTATCAGCATAGCCCTGGCGATTAGTATTTTGAATTCTTTTTACCGGAAACCAATCAAATGGCAAACTGTCTGTCTTCGATTTTGTCATGACATAGTCAATGCCTATGGGATGCAGAGAACGCAAGCAAGTGTTACCCCAGGAATGTCGAGGTATGACGCATTCACTTTTTTTATGGGCCAGATTTCGATATTGGCATCTGTTATACACTTTATATAAATTCGATATCACATCTATCTCATAAATCGTAGACATAATGCACAATATTTACAACATAATTAAGAAATAAGATACATAAAATTTAGCACATATGTTATCAAAAAAAAAGACAAACGCAAAAAGAAAAGAAAATCCTCACTTTGTGCGCGTAGTGATACAGAAAATACTACAGCTAATTACCTGTCTGACCACGTGGGTTTTCTCTGGGTACTCCGGTTTGCTCCCACATAAGGACCCACAGCACTAATATTCGGACCAACAAGAGTGATTAATATACACCTGTAGTGAGTTGGAAAATCTTGTTTTATAATTGTTGTAAAATAAATTAAGTATATATTTATTTTAATACTACACATTGTACTAGAATTTATGTCAAGACATCACATGCTCTAGACAGAGCGCGCTGTCAAATTATTAGCGTCAATAGATCTACTATTAATGTTCATGCATAGAAAATTACTAATCAGAGGGTTTAACGAACAGTTATATAATCTGTAAAGTGAAAAAACCCCACAACGAGCAATGATTGTCTTTTCATGTTTATCTAAAACGAGTTGCTTATTTTTCATATGATATAAAGTCACGAGGTTTACCGATTTTTTTTTACGATTTGAAAAATTAACTTTATCGTTCCGACATTATATCAAGAAAATCATATGAACAATGACGTCACAATGAAAGATGACATCGCAAAGCATTACTAAAAATTGACCAATGAAATAACGTCCAGGTGTTTACCAACTCCTAGCAAGTTTATCCAATGAGTAAACTACGAAAGATCAGACGAATAAAGAAAATAGATAAAATCTGATATTTTGACGTAAATAATAACCGGAATCTCCAGTTACTGGACGGATGCTTATATAGCCTTGGCAAACTTCCTGTTGAGAAGAACAATGTAGCATCCCTCCAGTGCTGAAGCAGACATTTCATGGTAAACACATTATTATTCATTCTTAGCACGAATCTGTTCAATACCATGTCGATATCAATAGTTTATATATATTGCTTTTGCATTGCCAGATTTTCGAGAACACCAAATAATAATAATAAACCTGTGCGAAGGGAGACTTCTCTCGCTGGGTTAACAGAATATCATCTTGGCACTACTAAATACGGGACGAAACATCGCGGTCTAAACGGTTGAATCGGTTGGACCAGAGTTGTTCGTTTATGAAATAAGGTCGGAACTAGTAATCTGATGCTGTTCAGGCGAGCCTGACAAAGCATTGGAAGGTATGCATAAATATTTGCAGGTCCACCAGGATTTATACCCGAAATGTTACATTGTTCCTTATAAACGAACAGGCCAATCAATTCCCCCTCTCATTACCATATAGATCTACCATAAATACGTTTATCCATTTTTTTCTGATAAAGGTTTGATGTTAATTATATATGGTTCTATGTTCAAGACAGGACGGCTTTTTATACACAATTATTTGTACATCTTAATTTCAATCAATACTTCAATCAATGCCTTCAGTTTCTTAAAATATCTAAAGGATTTTTTTTTAAATCAAATAACTCTGTCATTTGCTGTAGTTTTCTTAGCTCAAAGTAGCTTTTTACAAAAGTTTATATGACGTTTTTTTGTACATTTTAATTTCTTTCAATACTTCTTTTTTTAATTACTTTTTCAATAAACTTTTTTAATAAACTTTTGCTGTATGTAATGTCTCAACAATAACACGGCTGTTTTAGTGTTGATGGGTTTATTCACAAACTCCCTCGGAGAGAGGTAAAAAGCTACACAATATGAAATAAAGAGTCTTTGAGTTATTTATACAGTAAGGTGGTTGAACATTATTGAGAAAAACCAGGAAATAACAAATTGTGTATGAACTCGGGGTGTATCGATGGCACCTTAAATTCTATAAAATACTTACCCCGAATGATATATAAATTCCTGCACATACAATATTTATAATTAACTATTTTAGTATCTGAATTCCTGCACATACAACATTTCTAATAGCGTATTTTAGTTAACAGATACCAAATACTAAGATATATATCTATTACGTGGACAAATTGACTTGATACCTACCATGCAGATTTATGAACAAGATATCGTGGTTGTTTTGACGACATACAATCATCGAGCATACTGCATAAAATGATAACATATTATCATAAATCTAATAGAATGGGGAGGGACAAATCGACTCCATGGGGGACCTTAGATTTCTTTGAATTTGTTGCAGAAAATCTGGTCTGCATCCTTTTCAAAACACATGTTTTCTCACTTCCGGTTCGAATAATAAACAAATAGCTACCGGTAACAATTATCCGGAAAATCTGAACAAGGGGGAAATAACTGAAAATTAACAGCTAATCAAATGTTACTTCACAGTTAAAAATTCAATTATATAGAAATTGGAAATTGGAAAAGAATCTTACATCTTTACAAACTAAACTCAGACCTGTTCACTCGTCAAAAATATGTGGATAAGCTGCACTCGCCTTGATCAACACTCTTGGTATGCCTGTTGTGTTTTGTTTCTTTGTTTCTTTATTGTTTCTTTTTTCTTTTTATCTTTTTTTCCCCGCTTTGTTACTAGACTTACAATATGTTCATATAAGAATTCGTACCTGACTTAAGAAATGTACATATGAGAACTTCCGTTTCCCGGGAATTGAAATTCTTTACTTTTTCCATATGTCCATAGACATCCTCCTGTATTGGTGGAAACAATGGTATAAGGTAGTCCTTATACAGCTTGTATCCTGGCATAATACGTGTCTCCTCTCCATTCTCCGACATGTTCTTACAAATCAGAAGCTTCCATATATAAAATGATATAAAAAAGTATATATATAAAAAAATATTGGTAATTCTTAAAACAACTCATATGTTGATGTGTTATATTAAACAATGAATGTTTTTGTTGTTATGATTTTTTATGATTCTTTTGACATAGTTATTATACATTTTGTACAATAAGTATTATATTAAATATTACAAACTTCCTTTGTATGCTCATAAAATACCTTATACAATATATTGTACTATATATTATTATCCAATTACTGCTATATTTCATTTGGCGATTCGATATAAAGATCATAATTTGTTTTGTTCAATAACTGCAATATTAACCTTTCAGGAGTTTGATGCACCGTTTAGCACCCACTGTACAATGACCAGGTCATGTCACTAGGTCTAGAACTACCTTCTGACACTAACATATCCTGTCTCCGGCACACATATACGCATACACGCATACACAACACACATAGAGGCACGTCCTTAAATGACCTTAGCTGTTAATAGGACGTTAAACAAAATAAAACCAAACCAAACCTTCTTACACCGTTGATTCAACAACCCATTTAACTGCATCAGTATATTAATTTCACATTATATTCATATCACGTATGTAACAGAACTAGACTGATCCTTAAGGACGAACACATGTTTTTAAATTAATATATCTTATCGGCAACTCCTCTTTAGTACATTTATCTCTTTCGGAAGATTCTTCAGAGTCTGACATATAAAGTGATTCTCAGGGTCTAAAAAACTCTCCTAGGGAAGAAAAAGGAGACGAGTTGTCGATTTGCTACACACAGAAATATCAAATAAAGTTATTGTTTGTCAATCTAGGTAAAATCAGATATTTCATGTAACAGATGGCATTTGAATAAAATATAATTTTGAATTTATTCTCTACCGTAAGAATCATTTTACTGCTGTTGTTGTGTTATTTACATACAAACTTTATACAGTATGTGTAATGTACATTATTTGCGTATATATGAGGTGTAACAGCCTGGTCGTTCTATAGCTTCAGAAAAGGACAGAAAATCATATAACAACTACAAATATATAGGTGACAGCAACAGTGAGTTAACAGTGCATCAAATTCCTGCAAGGTAAATACAGCATCATTTTTAATGTATTATATATATGTATGCATAGGACTCTTGTTAGATTAAACACAATTATATATTTATGAACGTTAAGATTACATAAAGAACTTAATGTACAGAACGTATTATATATTTATGTCGAGGACAGTTGTAAGATTTATGTAGTAATTTTTGTGCAAAAGTTATTATAGACTTATGAAGAGGACGATATTTGGATTACATTAAATACTGTAAATTTTCGTCCTTCGACGATAAAATCTGTTTTCGCCAAATTTTATTACGCCCTTCACTTTTAATTACTATGTTTATTATGCTGTTTTCAAATGCTCGCTGTAATGATTAATTCACCCTCTTTACGGAGAGGGGAAAGGCGAAAATTAAGTTTAGTAGTTTCTGTACATTATTTTCTAAGATGGAGGTTACTGAAGACTACCACAAGTTTTATGGTCATAATCAAATTAGGAAATACTCGATTTTGTGTGTGATATGGATAGGATGTTGTCTTTCACGCTCATTGTTTTATCGTGTAGGTTTGTTGTCAATACCCTTGTTCTCTCACTGACAACGTCACATGACTTGGTTTTGGTCTAGAAATAGAAAACACTCACCTTTCTGCACCAAATGAACCCATCATCTATTTATGTTTTCAAAGGTCTCAGTGTAAACCTCTCACTCGCTCATATTTTGTCAGTTTCATTGAATTTAATTTAAGTTCGGATTGCAGTTTTTGTTTATGATATATTTCCGATTTCTTATCATTTGTGAGGAATTTATTTTCCCAATTATAAAAGGTTGACCATAATTGCTTACGTCCAACAATCAAGCGAGATCATGTTGTTTATGAATTTCAGTCTGGAGGAAGGTACAACCTATACTGGGAATTGAAATTCATGACCAAAAGATTATAAAACAGTTATAAAGCATCATGTTATGTTTATTTGCATCGGTATCTTGACAAGGAAACCAACTTCGTGTTTTTTCTGTCTGGAGATCTTTTGTTCCGGTTATATTGCTGATAAATTAACATAGAGCTCTAATTAACAGACTTTATAAATTTGACAGTAATAGCGATGCATGTTATAACGATCATAGCAAGATAAGTATTCATTGTTTTATTAATGCACATCAACAGATGAGCGCAGTAGTTGCTTCGAGAGCTATCAAGGTTTTTTGTGCATCAATCTGATTAAAATCATATGTTACATGGCTCATCTGAGTGTGCGGCGGTCATGGTCACGAATGATGCGAAAGTTCTGAAGTTATTTGAGATTGATCGTCTGAAACCCGAACAGAAAAAGATATTCGAAGCTTTATTATAGAAGAAAGACTGTATGGCGGTGTTGCCTACGCAATTATTACCCAATGGGTACGTTTTCCTTGGCGTAGTAGAAACGTCCGTTCCCGCCGCCATATTTGTTTTGGAAAACTAATCTGTTCGATACCCCTCGCTATTTATCTATAAACCATGATATTCCGATTCGCTGGCAAGCTTTTGCCAGCGCGCCTCTGATTGGTTCATCTAAATGTCACTTGAACGTGACCCTGACCGCGGCACATTCAGATTTTCAGTCGGAGCCATGTAACAGATGATTTTAATCAGATTGTTTGTGTATATGTCATTGATTAGTTTAGCGACTGATTTGTTAGACCATGTCGAAGAACGTGGACGAGGTAGCTGCCCTTCCAGGACACAGGTTGTATAAAGACTACCTGATACCCGTGTTTACACAAATGCACGAGGATATCAACGACCATATGGAAAAAACCAAGAATTTCAGTTCCCGGGAAACGGACGTTCTGATCTGTACATTTCCAAAGTCAGGTAAATTTCCTATTTATATATCCAAAGAAAGTGTGAGAAAGTCAATGCTAAGGGATGCAAACACGTTAGATTGTATATTTGTATAAACATAAATGTATAAATATTGAAATATATGCAGCGCTACATTTAGGAGGCTCCAGCCTTTCGCAATTAGCCAGCAGAATTCAATGAAAGTTTCACATAATGGTTATGTCACTATGTAGAGATGATTTTATGAAGTCAAGAAATTTCATAAATATGTTAAGTAAATTGGTTTGAAAAAATTTAAAATTGCAATGAATTAATGTGAAGTCAAGTATATAAGCATGTGAAGCCTTTGTGCGTCAAACCAAGAATATATATATTTACTGAAAAGATTGCCGGTACATTAACATGCATTGGGCTTTAATCGAGTTTAAAATAAGCGTTGAAAACATTTGCAAATTTGATTTTTTTTACTTAAAAATGGTAATTGGATATGTCTACCGCCTTGTTTAACAGAGTACTGTGCAAAGGTACCAGGTATATTAGAAATATATTGCAATGTATACATGTATATTTATCGTCCCGATTTTTAAGGGAACCGAGGAGGCATCAAACAAAAAGGAAAGACAACTTTTACCTTAGAAGAACAAACCACGTGGCTCCGAAAGGATAACATTTTTCAAACATGTGACACACGTCCTAATGTCTCAAAAAAAAACCGAGAAATTATTTAGGTCACAAACGATCAGGCAGACAGTGTGGAAGTGTATTAATCATACTAGACAGACTGGATTGAAATGTTACAAAACCCTGGCTTATTATTCTATTCCGTCTTTGCGTATTGCAGAGTTATCTTCTCTTGAGAGCAGGTATTGATTGTTACGTCATTGGTTCGTGTGAAAAATGACGTCGTTTTCTGAAAAAATGATGACGTTACTCTCACAAACAAATGACGTAACAATCAATACCTGCTTTCAAGAGAAGATAACTCTGCAATACGCAAAGACGGAATAGGTCAACATGACGCCTTTGTGCGTCAAACCAAGAATATATATATTAACAGAAAAGATTGCCAGTACATTAACATGCATTGGGCTTTAATCGAGTTAAAAATAAGCGTTGAAAACATTTGCAAATTTGATTTTTTTTTTTTATTAAAAAATGGTAATTGGATATGTCTACCGCCTTGTTTAACAGAGTACTGTGCAAAGGTACCAGGTATAATAGAAATATATTGCAAGGTATCTTACCTTAGAATAACAAACCACGTGGCTCCGAAAGCATAACATTTTTCAAACATGTGACATCCTTCCTAATGTCTCAAAAAAACTGAGAAATTTGGTAGGTCACAAACGATCAAGCAGACAGTGTGGAAGTGTATTAATCGTACTAGACAGACTGGATTGAAATGTTACAAAACCCTGGCTTATTATTCTATTCCGTCTTTGCGTATTGCAGAGTTATCTTCTCTTGAGAGCAGGTATTGATTGTTACGTCATTGGTTCGTGTGAGAAAATTACGTCGCTTTCTCAAAAATTGATGACGTTACTCTCACAAACAAATGACGTACCAATCAATACCTGCTCTCAAGAGAAGATAACTCTGCAATACGCAAAGACGGAATAGGTCAACATGACGCTTCTGTCAAGAAAATTCTCAGAGACGCAGGACTTGTCCAAACGATCGATAAATATTACGATAAGGAGGAAACACAACACAGGGACACGCCATCCAATTTAACCCTCAACTCATTCACCCCTGAAATGTTATCATGAACTGTTCCAACCATTGAGTTGGAAGAGTTCAAACGTGTCTCCATGGGTTAATGAATGAGTTAACCAATTAAAATATCAAACATAAGAAAATAATAAAACAATGCCGTCCTACTTAACGAACTATTGTGAAAACGATTACGCAGTGTAAAGAAGCAAAAGTTGTTGTCATTCTGCCTTCACTTTATTTTGAACGATTAAATAACTTCATGTTACTTATGTCATTCCTTTTGTGTGTCTATGTCGTCATGTTAAGTAAACGTGATTCATGGAACGGCCTAACGTCACCAAAATGTTTGCTTTCGGCGTTTGTCATGTTATTCGAGGCAGGAGAAGAAGCTTCAAAATGGCGCTGATCAAATTACGTTCAAAGCTCTATGAACACAATTTTTCTAGTGATGCTTACACAGGAAGTTGCAGTGTAAATGAAAATATATGTTTCTATTTCGAGTTCCGTTCTGGTATCGGAGAGTTGATTTTATGATAAACGTTGTTCCAATCTAATTTCAGGAACAAACTGGATAAATGAAATAGTTGGAATGATGGTGAAAGGTCGAGCCGAGTACAGCAAATCCTATAAACTAGTTGCCATGTTGGAGAGGATGTCTGACGTTACCAGCTTATCAAACCTTCCGTCGGACTCCATCAGGGTATTAAACACCCATCTTCCTTTCCCAGATCTGCCCCGGAAACATGTCGAGGGCGGGTACAAGATAGTTCATGTTGTGAGAAACCCTAAGGATGTGGCAGTGTCTTATTACAATGACACTATCAAGCGGAAACGATGCCTACCGGATGGCCAAGTCATTACCCCACCAGAATGGTCAGAGTGGCTAGAACGCTACTGTCGTCCTCCACGTAAATAATCAAACTTTGCTATGCTATGCTATTCTACCTATCTCCTCCCCCCCATCCCCTTTTTATTAAAACCAAACTGTATACTCCATGTAAGCTTAACACCATAAGCATGAGATTAATCAGTCTGCTATTAATAATGAATGCTAAGTTTGTTTTGAACACAAACATAAGTTGAACACTGACTTTGCGAGCTTTCGAAAAATTGTGTTTCCTTTGTCATGTAAGGTGTGGAAATGATCGGCGACAGCTGTCAGAAAACATATTTCGCCAAGTAGCACTCCAATACTGCAGGTAGTCAGAGGGACGGGATATATACCCATTTCGCCCCTAAGTGCGAGCCTTACTTGTGGCCAGCCTCGATACTATAATACAGGGGTTACGCTCACTGCACCCCTGGAATATGTCAGAGACAAATTTGAGGCACAAAGACAGCTGTTACATAGGTCTCGGGTAAAAAAAAACCACCTCACCAATCGCTAGGCTTATACCTGTACTTTGAAGATAACAAAGGAGCGACGCTGGGCTTCAAAGTCAGTAATATTTTACTGTTACGCGACCGCGAGATTCTTTTCATGTACATCACCCGGCTCCAAAGTCAGTAATATTTTACCGTTACGCGACCGCGAGATTCTTTTCATGTACACCAAATGATCGAACTAGTCTTCTTGTCTCATCTATAAGGTGGCGTACACTGAGCCTTCAACTTTGCTATGACATATTCCAAGGGTGCACAGAGCGTAAGTTAGCGTAGCCCCTAGAGTATCGAGGATGACTTGTGGCTTAATGAATTGCTTTTAGTGGTTTGGAGTCGAACCACCGGTCATTTGTACTCTTTGCTTGACATCACAGGGACTATGCCAATGGATATATGTTTAAGCTTTTTTTTGGGAATTTGATTTCTTAATCCCCGCCTAGGAACAGAGAAGCGGGTCCCAATAGGGAAAATAAACGTAAAACCTTTAAAATCCTTCTTCTACCATAGGGATTAAGGAATTTTATCCCAATTTTCGTCTGGAGCAACTTAACGTCGATATCTTTAAAAAAAATCCTTCAGTTTTATTTTAAGGGCTAAAACAAGAAAATAAGCCTGACGTTAACACATGATCATATATCATATATGATATTATTATAAAGTATAACCATATTTTTCAAGTAATAACAACACATCTGGGCTTCTATTTAACCATCGCGGTTGCTCAAAATAACAATTACGCAAACAATAATATCGACAAATATTTTGCTCCAGAATATGACAATTAAAAATTGCATCTCTTCTATAATATAGAGAAGTATTTGTCTTTGTAAGATGAAACGAAATATAATATGAGAATACTGCAAACATGAACGAAAACCAAATCGTCTGAGACTAACAGAAGGTGACTACTGGTCCATTTAAGACAAGTCGTAATTCACAACTGCACTATGTCCGGAAACAATGTTAGGCCGTTTACGAAACCATGTTAACGTAAACAAATATTTCAAATTAGTAAACAACGTTGTCAATTGCAAAATGTATATCCTAATAACGGAGACATTTGTAACGTAACTAATTAATTACAATCATTTTCCAGACAAATATAGTGGGTGGTTCAACTACGAAAAAGGATTCGAATCGGCCAAAGACATCGGCGCACTTCGGAGTGTTTTTACCATCCAATATGAACATCTCAAAATGGTAAGGAAATTGTATCCAATTATGTGTTGTTTCCTTTCTGCATTGTCAAAATCAATTCTAAATATTTGCTTCCTCACTTCGTATTTGTATTGGTTATTTCATTTTTTTTCATGTTTTTAGTGATAATTTTACGTAACAAAGTGGTAATTAAGAACGGAGGGTTCAGTTAAGTACGAGTTTTGCCTTCTGCACCGACAAACTAGAATTTAGATAAGTGCGTCCTTACTTTTTATTTCATTTCTAACATTCTTTTTAACGTATCAAGATTATTGTTTCTGCTGGTGGTATTTATAACCTTGTAGATGGAATTTGTTCTGGCATGTGTGATAAGTTGTAGTCAAAAGAGGCAACGTTATAAAAGGTTTCGTAAGCAACTTTCCCTTTTTGTTGTATTGCGGGTTAGTTTCAGAACATTTAAAAAGATTGACCTTTAGTAAAACTGCACAGTTCTAACAGAACGGAAAGACCACAAGGTGCGATAAAATGTTTGCTTTGTTTGGTTTTTTACATCGACAAGCTGAATTTAAAGTAGGTGCTCCTTACTTCTTATAAATAGTAGTTTTTGTCCTGCCGCCACGAAGTAGCGGACGCGAGACGAAAAAAAGTTTTTGCATTTAAGTTAGTATCACTTAATGTAAGTTCTAGATCAACCAAATTTGGGCCATAGATGCATCTTAGGTGATAGATCTCAACCAATGCATGAAATACTGGATACGGCCTACCTTTCATGGTCCATTGACTTTGTCAGCATCTCCATCAACATTAAGTTTCTGCATTTAAGTTTGTTTCTCTGATATGTGCATTGATGGTCAAAGCGGGTACAGGCGAGACATATCAATCCGGATGGCTTGTTTTATTATATGCAATTTTCTAATGATCTATGTTAAACGATAAATCAATCTCAGTATTTCTAGGACGTTTTTACAGAACCCCCTGCCAATACTAAAGAATCTGGCCGCCTACCTGGGTGTGGACCTCGCCGAGCATACTCTGATGGCTATCAACGACAAGTGTTCCTTCGCAAACATGTCCACTGCTGGGGCTCGAGCTAAAGACAACGCGATACGACAAATGTCCATTGATGGTTCCAACTTCATGTTTCGCAAAGGTATACTTTTAAAAGAGTCGGTATTAAAGCGCCCAGATGCATTACTACCTTACAATTAACCTGTTTAAGTTGATGTTACCTAATATTCGACAAAACATTTACTTAGGGTGTTTTTTTTACACACATTAACAAAATGTTTGGATAACAATAAGAGGTTAAACACATGATCCTTTCGTACAATATTGCACTACAATTAATCTGTAATTGTTGATGTAACCTTATACTGAGCGTTATTATTTCACATATTGAATAACAAATGTGTAATCAATCCATATAGAAACATGAAAGTATTCATGAATTTGGTTGATTGTTTTCTGTATACTTCGTTTCAGGGATCATCGGAGATTGGAAAAACTGGTTCACTGTAGCACAGAATGAAACTTTTGATAAAATTATCGAAACAGAGATGAAGGACTCGTCATTGAGAGTTGTTTACGAGTAATATGTGACTCATTTTGATGGTCACTGCATTCCGAATGTACATGCATTTACTTAACTGGTATTTGGAAATATTCGACAAAGGGTTTTTTTGTAAATAAAAAAGTACACACAACTGTACGTGCTCTATCTACATGAATAAAAAATTAAATTCGTTTAATTAAATTCGTTTTTATTTTTTTATAAGTCAAGTTGTTATGACATTCATCTCCTTTCCAGTTTCAGACTTAAGCAATGTAACGTTTTTGTTGATGGTATTTTGATAAATATACTAATCTATTGTGGTAACCGAGAAGCCAAAACAATAGATAGTCAAACGTTTGAGAAATGAGGCGGTATATCGTGATTATACTGTCCAGGAATTGTGATTGTGCGGAAACGTTCAGATCAGCCAGAGGAAGGCATCACGCTGTCGAAGGCCAACGTTGACGTGCCATTGTTGGAGAGACCTCCCTCAAATACATGACAACATACCTGTTCAAGAGAAAGGGTCCGTTTGTAGGAAATTGACTTTGGTGTTCACGTACAGTCTTCAACGTATTGACGTGAAATTGGCAAATAAAGGGCTTTTTTCATGAAATAGTTGAACTCCAAATGAATCATACTTAAATTACATTTTCGTAAAAGAAGTGATGGAGATAAATTACCTGTGTTGCTTTTGTTTTTAGACCGGACTTATTTAAGCGCTTGGCATTTCTCGGTGAAAAATAAAACAAATATCAATGGCGTTTGGAATACTCGGCCCGTATTCATGCTCAAAACTCAGATTTTGTGACCAATCCAAATTTCGTGTTCTGATGATGAAAGGATAACACAATTTTCAAGTATTTTGTCAATGATTCAGAAAAAAAATATGAAAAGACTCCAAACTGAATTTACATTTAGTTTGAACTATTTACATTTTTGTTTAACGTTTTCACATTATGTAAGCCAGCCATGAGCATGGGACCGGTTTCATAAAAAACGGACGAAGATATACTCATCAAAATCATCAGTTCTCGACATAGGTCGAATTGTCGATGTCGTTCCCATAATCATGACAAAGTATTTTTGTGAACAAATTTCAGATTTGCAACTTCTGAATATAATCTATTACGTTTATCTTTTTTTAAATTAATTAGTTCTAGCCTAAATTTAAATATGTTTGAAACATAATCGGGTCAATTCCGCTATATTTCGGTCAGGTAAACTTTTTATTCTGAACTTTAGTGGAGTCCATTTGTATTTTATTCACTTCCGGTAATGCAGTTCCCATATTGTTGACAACTTGCGGCAGAGGTTTTATGATATAAGGTAAAGTTTGATTTAAGTTTTGTTTTACCACCAGTACTTTATTATGTACCTTTTATGGACAGGGAATATTACAGGTTACGATTTCCCCTCACACGCTATCAATACAGCTTTCATGAGAGCTGAGAGGAAAATTCTTGTTCCACCAAAATACACAGATACAGAGACAAAAATGTCCGGCATTCCGGAGACCATATACCTATACTGTGACACGCCAATGTGTCACTAACCTACCAAAAAAGTCATTCTGTAGCCTTTGTAAGGTATGTATCTATGAATCTAGATAGTTGTCACTGGTGTTGAACTTCAAAGAAATGTTTAGTAATAACCAGGTCCAGTACACTCTGCCGATTGAGCTATATAGCTATACACCTATAAATTATAGCTGTATTGAGGTATATTTTCTCAGACTTCAAATTTCATTAAATTAAAGCAAAGTCGCATAAAACAATAAGGTTGATGGTAATGTTGACTACAAAAAGCATACATTTAGATATTTATTTTCATTTTTCATAAATGTAAAATTTCCGATTTTTTTACATCATTATTTTTTAAAAAGAATACCCATATTTAATGTCTTTTGTTATCAACTTAATGATACAATCCCCTTTTAAAAGCGACTTTGTTTCGTTTTCCTTAAAAAAGAAAATCACTTTAAAATAGCTCAAAAGACCTATTTCACATAGGTCAATAGAGCTATTATAGGTCTTTACAGCTATATAGCTCAATCGGCAGAGTGTACTGGACCTGATAACATATATAGTAAACTGTTTAGTTGTTTGAGTCCTTTAACAGTCAACCTTGCACCTAGTCAACCACATGGGTTCGTTAAAAGTGTCTAAATACACGTGTACTATACTGATATAGGTCATACTACAGGCGCCTGCATCTGGTATACATTTGTACATGTACATATGTGAAAATATAAAATACCCTCCAGCTAATGGAACTCTATCTAAATCAGAGATTTATAACATTTAGATAGAGTTCCTACAGGAATTAACCTGCAGCCTACCCTAGTAAATTGGGGTCAATATAGAAGTGTAGGTAGGCTATTATATATTTTTATCATACATATTTACATACCAGTTACAGGCGCCTGTGCTTAATGTCAACCACATGCCTACTGTATGCCTTGCAAATTGAAATTGTTGAGGAATATAGGCCCTCAATGCCTTTCGTGTTGAGATTGTACATATACTGGTGAGTTAGTTTTACAGTGTTTATTTTTTTAATTTCATTTTTAGGAAATAATTTGGAAAACAAAACAAAGACCCTGCTGTGTAATCAACCTTGTTGTGAAGAGCTGATCAATGATCCTTGGAAAAAAAACTGTAATCTCGGAAGAAAGTTCATCTATCTGAATGAATCTCAGTCCGTTATCGAAGAAACTTGTTCTACACGACAGTATGTATTACTACTGTGATTACAGACTTCAGTTTGGACAAAGATAAGCATGATTACATACCAGAAAAACGTTAGATGTAATGTCTAAAAATTGAGATAAGATCTTCGTGTCATAACAGGAAGCACACGAGAGACAGTGTAAACCAACATATATTTATGGTAAGGAATTCTGAAGGGCGAATGGACTAAATAAACACTACATATGAAAATTTCAAACACACACTTGTGATCTATAGCTAAGTTCTAGAAACATATATACAGCATGGTACATACAGGAAAAAAGGCATTTGAGTGTGATTTTTGTGGTAAACGGTTTAAGAAGACCGGCGGTCTGACATCTCACCGCATGGTACATACAGGAGAAAAGCCATATGAATGTGATATCTGCGGAAAGCAGACTAGAACGACAGAAGACCTGAAGAGACATCTAAGGTTGCATACAGGAGAGAAACCATATAAATGCGACGTCTGTGGTAAGGAGTTTACTCAGGCGTCTAATCTTCGTACACACGCCGTAATTCATACAGGTGAAAAACCATACAAATGTGATATCTGTGATAGAGGCTTTAGTCAAATGGCTAACCTCAAAAGCCATCGTATGATACATACAGGAGAAAAGCCACACAGGTGTGATGTCTGTGGGAAAGGGTTTTGTCTTGCATCCAGCCTTAAGGCGCATCGCGTCATGCATACAGGAGAAAAACCGCACGTTTGTGAAATCTGTGGAAAGAAGTTTACGGCAACACAGAACCTAGCAAGACACATCAAGGTACACACAGGAGAGTATTCCCATGAGTGTGATGTCTGTGGTAAACTGTTTCTTCAGGCAAATGGCTTACGTATACATAAAATGTTACATACTGGAGAAAAGCCTTTCAAGTGTGACGTCTGTGGGGAGGGATTTCGGCAGGCCTACGGACTAAAAAGACACACCAAGATACATACAGGGGACAAGCGGTACAAGTGTGATGTCTGTGGTAAGGTGTTTAACAAGGCCGCTGTTCTAAAGATACACCAAAGGGAACATACAGGGGGGAAGTTGTTAACATGTAATGTCTGTGGCAAGGGCTTCAGTCAGCAGTCAAACCTCCAGAAACATCTCTTGATTCACTCGGGTGCGATGCAATACACATGTGATGTCTGTGGTCAAGGCTTTAATCAGTCTATTGTCCTGAAGATGCACCAGAATGGACACATAGAAGAGAAGTTTCAGAAAGCTGACAGTAAAAGATCTAATACCAAGAATGATGGCCTGGAGGAGAAACATAACATATAGAGGGGAAAGGGGACAGTGACCTACAGACGTGAAATATGTGCTTAGGGGTTTTGTACAACTTCTAGGCGTTAAAAAACACATGGATTCATAGAACAATGTCAATATGAGAAGGGTAATAAAATAAATTGACACTTGATTTATTTTACATTTCTTATGAAACAAGTTATTACAACTTTTATTAATCATAATTGGTTGCACAGATGATAGTGTGCAACAGGTCTTAATGTGTGGGGAACCTGAGTACCCAGAGAAAACTTATGTGGTCGGGCAGCTGGTGACCCACATACCTTTTTATGTCCGATGGGGCATCACAGCCCAGCTGCCTTGGTGAAAGGCAAGTGCGTTATATCCACCCGATAACTACAAAATGGTGTTCAGTAATAAAGTATATATGTATGAACTGTCAACAGGATTCACCAACAAAATATAATCTCTTGAGACCTAGATATCTATATAACCGTTTTTAACGAGTATATGCAACTCTGGCTAGGCATGTTACATACATAGAAATATGTCAAATCGGGCAGCTGCTGATGATGATGAGTGAGACTTATTTTTGACAATATATAATAATTGAATCCTTAGGAGGTAACCTAAATGTAACAATATGAATGTTGTTTCTACTTTGAAATCAACTCTATATCAAACAAATGTATTAAATTCATTATATATCTGATTTCCATGTAGTTAGTTCTCTATGTGATAGTTCGAAAACTAAAACACCCCTGCAGACTAACTCCCTCATCAGTTTCTGTTATTTCCTTGCCTAAATGACCGAGTCAGAAATGTGAGAAGTTGGCAAAGCTTGTACTCAACAGATCTAGACCCAACATAATTAAATGTTTATTGCGAGACTCTTCCGCATAAATAATTTCATTGATAGAGTCGAGGTGTTTGAAATATTTGTTTTTAAATAAGAAAATGATATCTGCGTTTTGTTTTGGTGTAATAAAACAGTTAAGTTCGGGATTTCAGGATATAGCAAGTTTCTGGTACCTCTCAACCAGATCCATTTTCCTTTGCCTCATGATTCCATACCTGTTGTCCTCCAGAGATTTCAGCTGTTCTTCGAGCAGATTTGGTCAACTTCAGCACGAGTACAAATAGCTTTATCTGGTGTATTGCCAAGCGCTGAATCCTGATTCGACGATGCATCCCTAAAACTGAGATTTATCAACAACGATAACACCAAGGCCTGACAGATAAATTACGTGATCAAGGCATATGCTGAAATCAATCCCAAATCTGCACTACATTCCCTGTCCAGCCCTCGCCAAAAAAAGGATGTTACAACAACATCTATTCAGTAGAGGTGACCTTCAGCTGAGTTTCAAATGGAACAGACATAGTAGTGCCTGCCTGCCGGAGTGACGTTATCACGAAAACAGCCAACATTATCTACTACACACAGACCAACTATGCCAACACCAATTACACCAAAACCAATGACACCAGCACCAATCACACCAGCACCAACTTCACAAACAACAATCACACCAACACCAAATAAACAAACACCAGCACCAACTACACATACAACAATCAGACCAGCAACAAAAACACAAACACCAATCACTTAAACACAAACTACACCAATCACAGCAGCAACAATTACACCAGCACCAACTACACAAACACTACAAACACCAATCACACCAGCAACAACTACACAAAACACCAATCACACCAGTACCAACCACACAAACACCAATCACAGTATTACCAGTCACACCAACACCAATCACACCAGCACCAACTACACAAATACCAATCACACCAGCACCAACTACACTAACACCAATCACACCAACACCAGTCACACCAACTACACAAAACACCAATCACACCAGCACCAACTACACAAACACTAATCACACCAACTACACAAACACTAATCACACTAACTACACAAACACTAATCACACCAACACCAGTCACACCAACTACACAAACACCAATCACACCAGCAACAACTACACAAGACACCAATCACACCAGTAACAACTACACAAACACCAGTCACACCAGCACCAACTACACAAACACCAATCACACCAGCACCAACTACACAAATACCAATCACACCAGCACCAACTACGCTAACACCAATCACACCAACACCAGTCACACAAGCTACACAAAACACCAATCACACCAGCACCAACTACACAAAACACCAATCACACCAGCACCAACTACACAAACACCAATTACACCAGCACAAATTACACAAACACCAGTCACGCCAGCACCAACTACACAAAAACCAAAAACACCAACACAAACTAAACAAACACCAATCACACCAGCAACAACTACACTAACACCAATCACACCAACACCAGTCACACCAACTACACAAACACTAATCACACCAACTACACAAACACTAATCACACCAACTACACAAACACCAATCACACCAGTACCAACTACACAAACACCAATCACACCAGCACCAACTACACAAACACCAATTACACCAGCACAAATTACACAAACACCAGTCACGCCAGCACCAACTACACAAAAACCAAAAACACCAACACAAACTAAACAAACACCAATCACACCAGCAACAACTACACTAACACCAATCACACCAACACCAGTCACACCAACTACACAAACACTAATCACACCAACTACACAAACACTAATCACACCAACTACACAAACACCAATCACACCAGTACCAACTACACAAACACCAATCACACCAGCACCAACTACACAAACACCAATTACACCAGCACAAATTACACAAACACCAGTCACGCCAGCACCAGCTACACAAAAAACAAAAACACCAACACAAACACCAATCACACCAGCAACAACTACACTAACACCAATCACACCAACTACACAAAGACTAATCAAACCAACTACACAAACACTAATCACACCAACACCAGTCACACCAACTACACAAACACCAATCACACCAGTACCAACTACCCAAACACCAATCACACCAGCACCAACTACACAAATACCAGTCACACCAACACCAGTCACAGCAACTACACAAACACCAATCACACCAACACCAGCTACACAAACACCAATCACACCAGCACAAATTACACAAACACCAGTCACGCCAGCACCAACTACCCAAAAACCAAAAACACCAACACAAACACCAATCACACCAGCAACAACTTCACTAACACCAATCACACCAGAACCAACTACACTAACACCAATCACACCAGTACCAACTACACAAACACTAATCACATCAACACCAGTCACACCAACTACACAAACACTAATCACACCAGTACCAATTACACTAACACCAATCACACCAGCATCAACTACACAAATACCAGTCACACCAACACCAGTCACAGCAACTACACAAACACCAATCACACCAACACCAGCTACACAAACACCAATCACACCAGCACCAGCTACACAAACACAAATCACACAAACACCAACTACCCAAACACCAATCACACCAGCACCAACTACACAAAACACCAATCACACCAGCACCAACTACACAAAAACCAAAAACACCAACACAAACTACCCAAACACCAATCACACCAGCACCAACTTCACTAACACCAATCACACCAGCACCAACTACACAAATACCAGTCACACCAACACCAGTCACACAAACACCAATCACAGCAGCACCAACTACACAAACACCAATTACACCAGCACCAACTACACAAATAACAATTACACCAGCACCAACTACACAAACACCAATCACACCAGGACCAACTACACAAACACCAATCACACCAGCACAAATTACACAAACACCAATTACACCCGCACAAATTACACAAACACCAGTCACGCCAGCACCAGCTACACAAAAAACAAAAACACCAACACAAACACCAATCACGCCAGCAACAACTACACTAACACCAATCACACCAACTACACAAACACTAATCAAACCAACTACACAAACACTAACCACACCAACACCAGTCACACCAACTACACAAACCCCATCTCACCAGCACCAACTACACAAACACCAATCACACCAACACCAACTACACAAACACCAATCACACCAGCACAAATTACACAAACACCAATTACACCAGCACAAATTACACAAACACAAGTCACGCCAGCACCACCTACACAAAAAACAAAAACACCAACACAAACACCAATCACTCCAGCAACAACTACACTAACACCAATCACACCAACTACACAAACACTAATCAAACCAACTACACAAACACTAACCACACCAACACCAGTCACACCAACTACACAAACACTAACCACACCAACACCAGTCACACCAACTACACAAACACTAACCACACCAACACCAGTCACACCAACTACACAAACCCCATCTCACCAGCACCAACTACACAAACACCAATCACACCAGTCACACCAACTACACAAACACTAATCACACCAGTACCAATTACACTAACACCAATCACACCAGCATCAACTACACAAATACCAGTCACACCAACACCAGTCACAGCAACTACACAAACACCAATCACACCAACACCAGCTACACAAACACCAATCACACCAGCACCAGCTACACAAACACCAATCACACCAGTACCAACTACCCAAACACAAATCACACCAGCACCAACTACACAAACACCAATCACACCAGTCACACCAACTACACAAACACTAATCACACCAGCACCAATTACACTAACACCAATCACACCAGCACCAACTACACAAATACTAGTCACACCAACACCAGTCACACCAACTACACAAAACACCAATCACACCAGTCACACCAACTACACAAACACTAATCACACCAGTACCAATTACACTAACACCAATCACACCAGCATCAACTACACAAATACCAGTCACACCAACACCAGTCACACCAACTACACAAACCCCATCACACCAGCACCAACTACACAAACACCAATCACACCAGCACAAATTACACAAACACCAATTACACCAGCACAAATTACACAAACACCAGTCACGCCAGCACCAACTACACAAAAACCAAAAACACCAACACAAACACCAATCACACCAGCAACAACTTCACTAACACCAATCACACCAGAACCAACTACACTAACACCAATCACACCAGTACCAACTACACAAACACTAATCACATCAACACCAGTCACACCAACTACACAAACACTAATCACACCAACACCAGTCACAACAACTACACAAACACTAATCACACCAACTACACAAACACCAATCACACCAGCACCAACTACACAAATACCAATTACACCAGAACCAACTACACTAACAGCAATCACACCAGTACCAACTACACAAACAACATCCCACCAGCACCAACTACACAAAACACCAATAACACCAGCACCAACTACGCAAACACCAATCACACCAGTACCAACTACACAAACATCATCACACCAGCACCAACTACACAAAAACCAGTCACACCAACACCAGTCACACAAACACCAATCACAGCAGCACCAACTACACAAACACCAATTACACCAGCACCAACTACACAAATCCCAATTACACCAGCACCAACTACACAAACACCAATCACACCAACACCAACTACACAAACACCAATCACACCAGCACCAACTACGCAAACACCAATCACACCAGCACCAACTACACAAAATACCAATCACACCAGCACCAACTACGCAAACACCAATCACACCAGTACCAACTACACAAACACCAATCACACCAGCACCAACTACGCAAACACCAATCACCAACTACACAAACACCAATCACACCAGCACTAACTACACAAACACCAATCATACCAGTACCAACTGCACTAACACCAATCACACCAACACCAGTCACACCAACTACACAAACACCAATCACCAGCTACACAAACACCAATCACACCAGTACCAACTACACTAACACCATTTACACCAGCACCAACTACACAAACACCAATCACACCAGCACCAACTACAATAACACCAATCACACCAGTACCAACTACACAAACATCAATCACACCAACACCAGTCCCACCAACTACACAAACAACAATCACACCAGCACCAACTACACAAACACCAATTACACCAGCACCAACTACAATAACACCAATCACACCAGCACCAACTACACAAACACCAATCACACCAGCACCAACTACCCAAACACCAATCACACCAGCACCAACTACACAAACACCAATCACACCAGCACCAACTACACAAACACCAATCACACCAGTACCAACTACACAAACACCAATCACCAACTACACATACACCAATCACACCAGCACCAACTACACTAACACCAATCACACCAGCACCAGCTACACAAACACCAATCACACCAACACCAACTACACAAGCAACCAATCACACCAACACCAACTACCCAAACACCAGTCACACCAGCACCAACTTCACAAACACCAATCACACCAGTACCAACTACACAAACACCAATCACACCAACACCAGTCACACCAACTACACAAACACCAGTCACACCAGCACCAACTACACAAACACCAATCACACCAGTCACACCAACTACACAAACACCAATCACACCAGCACCAACTACACAAACACCAATCACACCAGCACCAACTACACAAACACCAATCACACCAGCACCAACTACACAAATACCAGTCACACCAACACCAGTCACACCAACTACACAAAACACCAATCACACCAGTCACACCAACTACACAAACACTAATCACACCAGCACCAATTACACTAACACCAATCACACCAGCACCAACTACACAAACACCAATCACACCAACACCAACTACACAAGCAACCAATCACATCAACACCAGCTACACAAACACCAACCACACCAGTACCAACTACACAAACACCAATCACACCAACACCAGCTACACAAACACCAATCACACCAGCACCAGCTACACAAACACAAATCACACAAACACCAACTACCCAAACACCAGTCACAACAGTACCAACTACACAAACACCAACTACACAAACACGAACTACACAAACACCAGTCACACCAACACCAGTCACACCAGTACCAACTACACAAAACACCAATCACACCAACACCAGTCACACCAACTACACAAACACCATCACACCAGCACCAACTACACAAACACCAACCACACCAGTACCAACTACACAAACACCAATCACCCCAACACCAGTCACACCAACTACACAAACGCCAATCACACCAGCACCAACTACACAAATACCAGTCACACCAACACCAGTCACACCAACTACACAAAAACCAATCACACCAGCACCAGCTACACAAACACAAATCACACAAACACAAACATCATCACACCAGCACCAACTACACAAAAACCAATCACCCCAGCCCCAACTACACAAACACCAATCACACCAGCACCACCTACACAAAAACCAATCACACCAGCACCAGCTACACAAACACAAATCACACAAACACAAACATCATCACACCAGCACCAACTACACAAAAACCAATCACAACAGCACCAACCACACAAACACCAATCACACCAGCACCACCTACACAAAAACCAATCACACCAACACCAACTACACAAGCAACCAATCACATCAACACCAGCTACACAAACACCAACCACACAAGTACCAACTACACAAACACCAATCACAATCACACCAACTACACAAACACTAATCACACCAGCACCAATTACACTAACACCAATCACACCAGCACCAACTACACAAATACCAATCACACCAGCACCAACTACACTAACACCAATCACACCAGTACCAACTACACAAACAACAATCACACCAACACCAGCTACACAAACACCAATCACACAAACACCAACTACACAAACACCAGTCACACCAACACCAGTCACACCAGTACCAACTACACAAACACCAATCACACCAGTACAAACTACACAAAACACCAATCACACCAACCCCAGTCACACCAACTACACAAACACGAACTACACACTAATCACACCAACACCAGTCACACCAACTACACAAACGCCAATCACACCAGCACCAACTACAGAAAAACCAATCACACCAGCACCAACTACACAAATACCAATCACACCAGCACCAACTACACTAACACCAATCACACCAGTACCAACTACCCAAACACCAATCACACCAGCACCAGCTACACAAACACAAATCACACAAACACCAACTACCCAAACACCAAACACACCAGTACCAACTACACAAACACCAATCACACCAACACCAGCTACACAAACACCAATCACACAAACACCAACTACCCAAACACCAGTCACAACAGTACCAACTACACAAACACCAACTTCACAAACACGAACTACACAAACACCAGTCACACCAACCCCAGTCACACCAGTACCAACTACACAAATCACACCAGCACCAACTACACAAAAACCAATCACAACAGCACCAACCACACAAACACCAATCACACCAGCACCAGCTACACAAACACCAATCACACAAACACCAACTACACAAACACCAGTCACACCAACTACACAAACACCAGTCACACCAGCACCAACTACACAAACACCAATCCCACCAACACCAACTACACAAGCAACCAATCACATCAACACCAGCTACACAAACACCAACCACACAAGTACCAACTACACAAACACCAATCACCCCAACACCAGTCACACCAACTACACAAACACCAACTACACAAACACGAACCACACAAACACCAGTCACACCAACACCAGTCACACCAACTACACAAACACGAACTACACAAACCCCAGTCACACCAACACCAGTCACACCAGCACCAACTACACAAACACCAATCCCACCAACACCAACTACACAAGCAACCAATCACATCAACACCAGCTACACAAACACCAACCACACAAGTACCAACTACACAAACACCAATCACCCCAACACCAGTCACACCAACTACACAAACACCAATCACACCATTACCTACTAAAAAAAATCAAAGGAAACAAGACGACTGGTTTGATCTTTTGACACCAAAATAATATCACAGCCGCGTAACGGTAACATTGACTGGCTTTGAATTGGTGTTTGTGTAGTTGTTGCTTAGCGACTGGTAAGTGTTATTTTTTTTACCCGAGACCGATCAAATAGCTAGTTGCGTGCCATCAAGTGAGCATAACCCCGATGATGCAATATATTCTATTTACATTAGCAGAATTAATATGTAGACGATCAGACAAGAAAACAGGTAGGAAAAGACCAAGACCATGTCATAGAAAAGAACATTATATATACTGTCCAGTACCAGACATTACGTAATCTTGATGGGCAATGGTAACATGTAAGGCCTAAAAGTATTCTTAATTTAAAGGATAACAAATATATTTTAAAAAAAGTTATGTGGAAATATCATGTGTTACGTACAAGTACTTTTTTATAAAGATATTATTATTTTACTTTAGACAGAATGCAAGATACAGGTTATGCTCCAATTTTGAAGAAAAATGTCTGCACTACATGTATAAGGTTTTCCAATTTTATCCGCATTTTCCTCACAACACTAGGCCTACCACCCCAAGTTATTTTTCTGGAACATAATAGGATTGAGGTCACAATTAAATGCTTCCGGGTTTAGTACCTACGAACAAAGTCCCTTAGAAATATAGGTACTTTAGTAAAAAAAAAAAAAAAAAATACACTATGCCTCTTAGAACTTGGGGTTAGTGTAAACGTTTGGTGTTAAAAACTGTGGAGATATCAATCTAACAATTTCTGTGTCAAATTTTTATATTGTGCATTTATTTTTTGGTGCAGGGTGCTGTGTGAAAAGTCCCGTGTTTACCTCTACCCCTGACCCGGAAGTTTACTTTTGACATTGGTGACACATGCAGACGATTATGCAGACGATCAAAATTTTAACATGCTATGTTGACATTTTGATATTTTACTCCCAAGATGTTGCTCTTGACCAGGTTAGATGGAAAGTTGGCTATCGAATATTGGGAATTTGTTATGAAATTAAATGTTACAATGAAACATATAGTAAAAGTAATTGTGGTCTTAGTCCAGATACGCAGTGATATCTCCCATCGCACATCCCAAACTGTACTCGTACTTGCCTGTACCGGAAGGACGCGACTGTACTGGTGCGTTCGTTTTGCGTTGTCGTGAGTAGTACTAAATAAAAATCTGTATCTGTATGGATACGCTGATACATTAATTACTCGATAAACAATGAAATCTTAGTTATAACAAAGCGGCATCATAAACGAATACTTAAAAAACCACTGTTATTTAGCTGAATTTAGAAATAGGATAAGTTTTTTTCTACAACAGAAAATATGTTGCATGCACGACGTAATCCATTTATTTTCCCTGCATGCACTTAATACTCGTTTATTTCCCCTATGTTGATTTCCGTAAAGCATTTGACACTGCCGTGCAGATGGGTTTATGGGCAGATATAATAAAAAGTAACATTATTATGCTGTTAGTCTAATAGAATGGTAATCCATAGAAATTATTGTTGACGTCAAGAGTTTACTATTTTTTGAAAGGCTAACGTTATATAGAATGGGTAGGACTACGTCATCATTTAAGTTATTTTTGAATCGATTGATTGCAGCAGTTGTGTTGATGGATACAAATTGTTTGATTAAAAAGCAGAGTTTCTGTCTAGATTTATAAAGAATAATTCAGAAGTATAGTCTGAACAAATATGTGCATGAATTTATAGATCATTGTAACCTTTCCTGATAAGAGACACTGGAAAAAGTGTCTGTTTTAACCAAACAGGGAACATGATTTTAGGGAACGTATTTCAAGTGACTATGATTTTAACAAATTTAATAATATTCATGATATGCAGCACATAGTCCGAATTATTCTGACGTTTTAACGACTTTTTTCATATCGGTCTATCGTTAATCGACGACAGACCGATATGAAAAAGTCGTTAAAACGTCAGAATATCCAGGTGACACACACACAGGCATACACACATAGGGAGATATTAGCCAGGTGGAATAGGAATAGTAGTTAGCGCCTGATAAGGCAGCTCCTGCGAATTCCTCAATATTGTATTGATTAATATATATATGCTATTTGTTTTGACTGTATAAAATTGTGTATCTATGTACTGTAAAGCGCTTTAGAGTGGATTATGTTAGCTAGATAGGGCGCTATATCAAATGTTTTTTTTTTATTTATTTTATTTTATTTTATAAGTTACAACCGCTGTTATAAAAAAAAACACCTTTATACAGAGATAAGATACATTTTATAATGAATCTAATTGTAACAATTAGAAATAGTAGAACTACAAAACTTTGTCACAAGTGCGGTGTGCTCTACCAAGATCATGCAGGATATGTTGTATTAAGATGTGATTTTACGAGTACTTTTAGAGATGAGCTATATATGGATATAGCCAATATACACGACCTGACATTTAGTTATTCATCCGCTTAGAGGCGAAGTTAACTTCTGGTTAGAAAATAATGAATTGGAAGAATTTAGAATTACTTCTGTGGCAAATGTCTATAAAATTTTAACAATTTACAGCAGCTGATTTGAAAGTAACTCTATATACATGTATCGATATGTTTAATTAGTAATTACAAAATTATTTATGACACTTTCTTTATTGATTCACATGCTCATATAACCGTTAGGGTGAATTTTATTGTACAATGTACGCATACCTTACCATATGTCCAATAAATAACATATATACATTTTTTTTGTGACATGTATGTAATTATCCATTGTTTTGATTTTGCTATTGTATTATTTTGTCTTTATTGATATGAAATATATTATAATCTTCATTTGGAGGAAATAAAGATGATAATAAAGCATATAGCACTGCCGTGAAGAAAGGTTTATGGGCAAATGTAATAAAAAGGAACATTACAGGAAAATCTTTCAAGTGATATATAATATAACATTTACACGAATACAAAATCGAAGGTTACAAACGTGAATAGTACATCTGATTTCTGTAACATCGGGATAAAGCAGGGTCAAGGGTAAAGACCTCTCTCCGTTTATGTTTTCAGTCCATCTCAACGAGTATCGATTGCCTTTTAAAAATAGGGTTTTTATTGACCTGTGTATTCTTAAATTCATTACGTGATCAAACGTACGCAATACTCAAATCTCAATTTGAATTTCAGACCATATTAAGTGAAACTTAAATGCCAAAATAGAATAACTGTGTGTTATTCAGAACATCTAATACGCACTACCTATTAAAACTAACAGATGGTCTGGGATACCACGGTATGAGAAAATATGCCCGTTATGTTTTTCTGGTGTTGGCGATAAGTATCATTATTCGTTTACCTGTATGACAATTACATCTGTCAAATTAAAAGTAAATATACACCTCACAACTAAAATGTCGTTATTCAGAATAAAATGCACAGTCTACCAAGGAATGTAGTTCATCTAATACCGATTCTGACTGTTTGTTATCGTTTAGAGCTACAGAAGGACAATTCACAACATCGGAAGTTAGTTAACAACTGCCTATGTCTAAAATTGACCACATTAAATACTAGTGTATGATTCTGGTACAAGAGCTGATCTATACGTTCGATAAGTCCGTAGTTTGTTTCCATTAAATTGTCCCATATCGTTCCACAGTTCTTGATACCAATTGTTTCCGTCAACTGTTTTAAATCTAGTTTTGGATAGGTTTAAACAATGACCCACATTCGGACTTGGAGCTAAAAGCTCATACAGATTATGATTTTTTAATTTTTTCTACACGCATAAGTTATATAATTGTACATGTACAGTCAGGGATGTAAATTGTTTTATTGTACTGAAACAAAAAGGGATGTAAATTTAAGTTATATTATTGTACCAGTGCAGTTAGGGATGTTGATCTGTACAGTCAGGGATGTAAACTTAAGTTGTATTATTATTGTACCGGTACAGTTAGAGATGTTGTTCTATATAGTCTGGGATGCAAATTTAAGTTGTATTATTGTACCTGTACAGTTAATGATGTTGACCTGTACAGTCAGGGATGTAAATTAAACTTGCTTTATTGTAGTGCTACAGTTAGGGATGTTCACCTGTACAGTCAGGGATGTAAATTTAAGATATATTATTGTACCGGTACAGTTAATGATGTTGACCTGTACAGTCAGGGATGTAAATTTAAGTTGTATTATTGTAACAGTACAGTTAGAGATGTAAATTAAAGTTGCTATATTGTAGTGCTACAGTTAGGGATGTTGACCGGTACAGTCAGGGATGTAATTTTAAGTTATTTTATTGTACCGGTATAGTTAGGGATGTTGACCTGTTCACTCAGGGATGTAAATTTAAGTTATATTATTGTTTGGTTAAAGCTAGGGATTTTGACCTGTACACTCAGGGATGTAACTTGAAGTTATATTATTGTACCGGTACAATAGTACAACTTAAATGTACATCCCTGACTGTACAGGTCAACATCCCTAACTGTAATAGTACAATTGTTTCAGTACAATATAACCATTCACATCCCTGACTGTACATGGCGTTTACATCGTTTCATTAGCAAAGCGAACGCGCCGCGGTACGGTTAGGTCCTTCCGGTACAATGTACATTTAGGATGTATGCTTACAGGCTGTGCACGGTAAAGCATTAAATCGAAAGCCTCAGTTTCGTATTTCTTAACCGGAAATGAAGTATGTGAAAGTGAAAGTGAAAGTAGAAGTTTAATGCCAACAAATATATGTCTGGTTATAGCGGTATTACCACGGACTTCTAATCTAATTCCGTGGTATTACCATTATTTTAAAAGGTTAAGCATTATAAAGTAGATGGGGGGAAGTGGTGGAGAAAGGGATGTTCCTATGTATTTCACAACTGAAGGAAAACGATCCTACTGCATGTATAACTTACAATTTAGTCATTAAAATGTTTTATCTTGATTTTCTTCACGGATTTCATGTTTTAAAAGTAATTTGATAAAATTGTATCATTACCCGTACAAATTCACAGACAGGTTATGGACATTTATTAATTGTTTCAGACTGGTTATAAACTTATATTAACTATAACAAACATATTAGGAACATTTATTAATTGTTTCGGGCTGCTTATTAACTTGTATTAACTATAACAAACATATAAGGAACATTTATTAATTGTTTCAGGCTGCTTATCACAGACAATAGGAACATTTTTTTTATTTACTGTTTCAGACTGGTCATGCACCTGTATTTATTATCACTGACAGGCTATGGATCTTGAATTATATTGCTTCAGATAAATTTGTTTTAACTATCACAGACATAAATGGAACATACTTATGTATTTGTAATTCTATGTTCTATCAATATATTGCAATTGTCATGTAAGGAACATAAATTCATTGTTTCAAACTGGTTATAAACTTGTATTTTCTTGTACTATCACAGACAAGAAGTAATATTTCAGTATTTAATACATAATTATATACAGATAAGTGGTATTTCATCATCAGGTGCATGTTCTTTAAAGTCTTCGAGATATTGATCACTAGATATATTTTGTAGAGATACAATTGTATTTTGTGACCTAAAAGGCATTTCGCACAAGCCAGATACATGGTAACAGCATGCACTTTATTACCATTCAAATATAAGATTTCATGGTAAAACAGATATTTATATAATGAGAAAATAAATAAATAAATAAAACTATTTTCCATTCAACCCCCTCCCCCCAGAAACAACAATAGTTTATAATATAGGAACCTCTCTGTAGTAAGTAATTGCATGTGTTATATCAGCTGTCTGTGATAGTAAATACATGTGTAATACATGTCTGTGATAGTAAATACACATGTAATACCTGTCCGTCAATATCAACTTTATTTATTTTACAACA